AATGTTTACTGAATGAAGCAGGGTAGGCAACTGCACAGAGGGCTGTCTGTGATATGAACCCACAGAAAACTGTGAGGAGGGAAATGAGCCAGTAGAGAAAGCAGGTTTCCTTCTGGTGGGAGGGTTAGGAGCGCTTGCTTTGTTTCTGACGTTTTTCATACTTCATATCTCGAACTGCCTGCGTGAGCCAGTGATGTAAGTCACAGAAGATCAAAGCATTTAAATCCCCAGTACTGCCCCCACCTCAGCCCTTCCCCTCCCTTCTCTGATTTTAACAGTTTGTTATAGGCACTTCTAGATGTTTTCCTTGAATCCACCATGTATTGCTTTTTAAAACTTACACGTACAATCAGAAAAATCATGGGGTGAGGGGAGAAAACAAAACAGAGAGCTCTCGGAATGAAGCTTGACATCAGAGAAAATGAGAAGCTTCGAGGTTTTTTGCAGAGCGAGTCTCTGTGCTTGAGGATGAGGAAGCAGAACTCAGGACCGCAGGTGGCTTGCCAAGCTCGCATGGTGTTTGTGCTGGCTCTGACACTCAGCTGGGGCTGGACTGGGACGGGGTGGGAGGCTGGGGGCAGGGAGGTCGGGAGGATGCTCTGGGCTGGGCTGGGCTGGGTGCGCCCAGGTGAGGAGCCTCCCACCCGTTTGTTCTGGGTACTAGGAGATGCTGGTGGAGAGACACGGGGGCAGAAGGGACCAAAGTCCCCATTTATGGCCTTGAGGGAGTTAATGTGTAATATTCTAGAATATAAACTGGGCTGTGAGGCGCGATCTGGAGCCCAGGCCTCCAGGAGCCACCAAGAACTGCGGCCAGGAGCTGCCACCATGTCGGTGAGGAAGCCGGCTTCCCCACGGCTCACCTCCTCCATTCCCCACATCTTTGCCTGAGTGGGGCGACTTGGTGGGGAGGGGGGCTGGAGAAAAGTGTCACCGGCCCTCCCTGGGCTTCGGTTTCCCTATCCGTATAGTGACCGAGGAGGACAGATGGCCTCCACCGCCCTCTAGCATGGATGTTCTCTGCTCTCTCTACCACCACCCTGCTGCGGGAACGTGAACCTACCTCTTCCCCCCTCTAGACTCAGTTGCTCGTCCGTAATAATAATAATATTAGGAATAATAATAATTGTCAACACCTACCGGGTTTTTAAAATTTTTTTTAAAGATTTTATTTTTTTATTTGAGAGAGAGAGAGCACAAGAAGGGGGAGGGTCAGAGGGAGAAGCAGACTCCCTGCTGAGCTGGGAGCCCGATGTGGGACTTGATCCGGGACTCCAGGATCATGACCTGAGCCGAAAGCAGTCGCTTAACTGATTGAGCCACCCAGGCGCCCTCCCGGGCTTTTTTTTTTTTTTTTAATTTTATTTATTTATTTGAGAGGGAGAGAGAATAAGAGATAGAGAGCATGAGAGGGAAGAGGGTCAGAGGGAGAAGCAGACTCCCCGCCGAGCAGGGAGCCCGACATGGGACTCGATCCCGGGACTCCAGGATCATGACCTGAGCCGAAGGCAGTCGCCCAACCAACTGAGCCACCCAGGCGCCCCTTCCCGGGCTTTTTAAAAAGGATTTTATTTATTTGAGAGAAAGAGCATGTGCAGGGGAAGGGGGAGGGGCAGCGGGAGAAACAAACTCCCTGCTGAGCTGGGGCTCAAACTCGGGACCCCGGGATCATAACCTGAGCCGAAGGCAGATGCTTAACCAACTGAGCCACCCAGGCGCCCCTCTACTGAGCTTTATAAAGATGAAGAAACTGAGGCTCGGGGAGGATGTTGCCCAAGGTCACAATCTGTTAAACGCAGGAGTTTGAGTGGATCCCTTTGCGGTCCCCGATTCTGTCACTGCTGTGTGGCTTCAGACAAGTCACTGCCCCTCTCTGAGCCTCCGTCTCCCGCATTTGGGCAACTGGATCACAGATGGCATCTGAGGATCAGAAGGTGTCTTAGTTCCCCGTGGTCACTGTAACACATTTATTCTCTCAGAGTTTTAGAGGCTAGAAGTCTGAAATCGAGGGGTCGGCAGGGCCACTCTTCCTCTGAAGGCTCCAGGGGAAGATCCTTTCTTTTCTCTTCCAGCTTCCGGTGGTTGCGGTTCGCGGCAGTCTTTGGTTGTGGCTGCACTTCTCCCCTCTCTGCCTCTGTCCTCACAGAGCCTTCACCTCTGTGTGTCTGTGTCTCTGGGTCCACTTTTCCCTTTGCTTATAAGGATGCCAGGTGTATTGGATTTAAGGTCTACCCTAAACAAATCTTGATTACATCTGCAAAGACCTTATCTCCAGATAGGTCATGTCCACGGGTGTCAGGTGGCCATAACTTTTTGGGAGACACCGTTCAAGCTGGCACAGATAGGATGCAGGATGTGAATGCCACGGGTGGGGTCAAGTGTGGCAGGGATGATGCTGTCCAGCCCTCCCCTCTCAGAGGAGCTCTGTGGCCCAGAGACCTTCCCAACCCACTTTCTGCTTCTCCACTCATCCCATCCCTGCCCGCTCTTTCCTTCTTCTCCAGAGACCACCCAGTCCAAATCTCTTATATTAACGATGGGGGAACCTTTCCCAGCTCAGTGCCCTCGAGTGCGCAGAGGGGGAGTGCGACCTGCGGCGTGTGAATGGGCTCCACTGGCAGAAGGGCTCTGGGCATGCTTGTGATGGGCTTTTTATGGAATGCTTCTTGGTTGGCACAGGAAAAATTGGAGATGACAAACATGGACATGAAGTTGGGGACCACCCTGAAGATCAAGGGCAAGATTGCCAGTGATGCTGATGGGTGAGCAAGAGGAGAGGCGGGAGGTGGGGGGGTGGGGTGGGACAGAAGGGGACAGGGGAGCTGTCCACAGGCCTGGAACAGGCCTGGAAGCAGGGGGGCGGGCAGGCAGGCAGGGCAGCCCTGTGAGATGGACACAGAGGAGAGCGACCCCGGTCCAAACGGGCCTTTTTAACATCCTTGCTGGTTCCCACACCCTCCCGCGCCCCTCACAGGAGGGGGCCTGCCTTCATGGCTGAGGGTGTTTGGGACCCTCAGAATTTCACAGCTCATGCTATATGCTCAGCTCCGTGGCCCCCAAAAACATTGAGGAGGCAGGTGGAGAAGCCCCTGGAGCTCTGCCCAGCCCCCTGTGGGTCAGGTGTCTCTACTGAAAGCCCACGCCTCCCCACCATCACTCTCTTAACCCGGCTGAATGGGCAGAGGCCAGCCTTTCATACGCATTACCCCAGAGACAGCCACCAGGGGGCGCCAAGGGGGGCTCTCACTTGCATCCTCTCCATTAGAACCAGCGGCGCTGCCCCTCCCGTGTTACAGCTCAGCATCGGGCTCTACCTGTGTGCCGAACGGGTATAGAATTTCTTGGGGCTGCTCTCCACGAATCTTTGGTTGGCGAGGGCAGGCTGATGTAGGGGGTAGGAGCCAAGAGCAGAGTCACCCCTTTCTCTTACTTGGGTTCAAGTTTACAGACATTTGTAATCCCTCTGCTCTGAGACCTCCCCCTGAAGGCACCCTATTCATGACTCAGAGTGTCCTACTCTCAGGGGCCTTGACCATCTAACCCAGGCTGTAGTGATCCTGTCAAGAAGTCACACAACCCGATTGAATACCTGTAATGACAGGGAGCTCACCACCTTAGCTTAACTGTTTATGGCCAAACTCAACAGGCCTCCAAATATCTAAGGACAGCAATTCTCTCCCCCAGGATAGGTACCCCGATTCCTGAGACTGTCACTCTCAGTGACCCTCCTGTTGAGAGCCTTAGTCCAGGTGCCAAATGGAATGTGGTACTCCCGCGTGCTAGGTCTGACCAGGTTGTCACCTCCCTTGTCTTAAGGCACAGGCCTCAATTAACATCTTTCTTTCATGATTCTTTCAGCTTGGGGTCAACCCAAGCACTTTTATCCAGCGCTGGCCCCCCATCCTGACTTGCTACCCCTTTCCCTGCAGATTTGTGATTAATCTGGGCCAGGGGTCAGAGAAGCTGAACCTGCATTTCAACCCACGCTTCCATGATTCTGCCATCATCTGCAACTCATGGGATGGCAACTGGGGGCAGGAGCAACGGGAAGGTCACATGTGCTTCAGCCCAGGGTCAGAAGTCAAGGTGAGGTCAAAGGGGAAAGGCGCCTGAGGAGCATGTCCATGGGAGAGCCCCGAGGGGAGGGCCCCCTGGCCTAGACACGTGTTGGCACTGTTTGAGCCTCCTCAAGCTGCCCGGGCCCACTTCCGGGGCCTTCTGCCTCCCTGACACCTTCCCTCCCACCACAGATCACCGTGACCTTTGGGAATGACGGATTCAAAGTGAAGCTGCCAGATGGGCACCAGTTTACCTTTCCCAACAGGCTGGGCGACAGCCACCTGAGCTACCTGAGCGTGCAAGGCGGGTTGAATGTCTCCTCCTTCAAGATTGACTAAGTGGATAGCCCTTCACCGGAGTGAAGACCCCGGGTACAGATGCCCTCCCTGAAGCTTCTCTACCCAGTCACACAGGACCGGCAGCTGCCCAGCAGTTCCTGCCCCCGGGACCCTACTCGCCTCCACTAAAGTGAAGAACAAACAAAAAGAACCCGCCTTTATCCAGTCTTTCTGTGGCCGGTGTTTTCCATACATTGTCATGCCCCCAGCATCCTCATGATACAGAGAAGGAAACTGAGGCACGAGATCATAGGGCTTCGAGGTGGGGGTTGGGACGTGCTCCCAAACACCTCCCAGCACCCACGGCTGCCCTGTGGGATTACAGGGCAGGCACTGGTTGCAGGCACCTGGGCCAGGGGCTGTTCCAGGAACTGTAGATAAGCCTCCCACCTGGGCCTCTTTATCGCTGGAACAGTCATTCCAGCCTGGTTACTCATTACCCTCTGCCTCAGCCCCTCCCCTCACTGGGGGCCCTGGGGGTGTGGGTTGGCGGGGGGGGGGGGGGGGGGGCGATTCTTTGGTTTTCCGAACATGATGGGAGGCTATTTAAGCAGGTGGAGTTGACCCTGTTCTCCCAGGTCCCCAAGCATCTTGCAGGACACCTTTTATCAAAAAGCCTTTTTTAATCAGGACCCGGAAGCAGGTCTGGGGTGCACAGGAAGGTGGGATTCCTCCCCTGTGAGGTCACACCTGACTTTTCTCTGAGACTTCTGGGATAAGTCAGGGGTTAGGGTTGGAATGTTGGGGAAGCAGCCTTAGCAAGGGCTGGGGCTCTCGGGGATGCGGCAGGGACCCTGCTGGGGGCAGCTCTAGGAGGGCTGGGGCAGGCGGTCCCTTTGGGAGAGAAGACAAAGGCCCTGTGTGGTATGCACCCCGTGCCCCCCCCACCCCCAGCAAGGACAGTTTTTCCAGCACAAAAGCTGCACTGTGAGGCTGGGCCCTCCAATCAGTGGGGGTGGCACAGGGTTGGGGGTGGGCCTAAGGAATGGCTGTGGGTCCAGAGTGGCAAGGGGGCTGGGCAAGGCAGCCCAGCAGGAATGAGAACAAGCCTGGTCTCCTCTGGCCTCCCTCCCATGTCTGTCCTGCAGAGGGGTGGAGGGGCTGGGGGGCAACTGCGTTCTCCCATCGATCATGGGCAGGACCTAGTTATCAGGTGCTGCCTCTGCACCTGGGCTGTTCCTGGCAGTGCCCTGAGCCCCGGCAGGGTCCTGAGCCCATGGCCGGCCACTCACACTTTGACTTCATCGTCCTCCTCAGCATCAGCAAACTCGAAGGTGTTTGCTTGCACTGTGCTGGGCACTGGGGCCCTGCTGCCTGCCTGGGGTGCACCCCACTCTTCATCCAGGCTCTCCCAAGAAGCCCGAGCCTGGGGCAGCACTCCCCCCAGCTCCTGGCTCCAGGCATCTCTCCCAGGGTAGTGGCGGCTGCCCTGGTTGTCCCCCCAGCCTGCTCCCCGGTGCCTGCCAGGGGCCACGCCAGCAGGTGCACAGGGATACTCTTCCACTGGGCTGGCCCTCACCTCAGCCACTGGGCCCAACCCAGCGGTCACCCCATTGGGGCAGTGTCCACGGGGCTGGGGGCTTGCAGCAGGGGCTGGGGGGCTTGTGGCAAGGGCCGGGGGTCTTGAGGCTGGGGCTGGGGGACCGGCAGCAGGGGCGGGGGGACTTGTGGCAGGGGCTGGGGTCTCAGCAGCAGAGGCTTCTGAAAGGCTCATGACCCCCAGCAGCTCACTGAGGAGAGATGGCCCAAGGTCGAGGTCCAGGCGGAAGGACAGAAGGGAGTCAGAGCGGCGAAGCCCGGACTCAGAGGGGAAGGTATTATCATGGTCTCGGTCACGAGGCTTTTCCTGGCGAGGCAGGCGGGAGATAGTGCAGAACCCAGAGTCCACGCCTGGAAAAAAATAAAAATGGGGAGCAGGGTCATAGCTGGGGTCCCCAACCAGGAATTGGGGAGAGCCAGCTTGCTCTGTGACCTCTAACACGTCACTCTCGCATCTGGCCTCAGTTTCTCCCCTTTCCAATATAGTGAACCCTGGAGTCTCTCACAGGATCTTCCTATCAAGCCTAGAAGTGGAAAATGGACACAGTCCTCATTCCCATTTTGTAGATGAAGAAAGTAAGACTCAATTTGGGACAAGGGGAAAGGCTTGCCCCAGGGTCACAGACTCTGAAGGGGTGGAGCCAAGCCTGGAGCTCAAACCTCCTCTCAGTCCAACTGAGGGTCATGGTCGCTAGTCCCCTTCCATGACAGGGGCCAAGGGTTGCAGCAAACCCACAGCGCGTGGGCGGGTTTGTGGGCACAGGGATGGAACCAGCAGCCAGGGTCTGACTGCACAGAAATCACAGACTCAGAGGACAGGCAGATGCCCTGCAAAGGACCTCTTCCACCCTCTGGCTCCAGGACTGCCATGCCCGAGGCCCGGTGTGCTTACTGTGGACCAGCCCCCAGGGGAGCTCTGAGCAGCCCTCAGGGAGCCGAGCATGGGAGGAGGCCCTTGGCAGTGAGGCAAAGCCACGGGCCGGGAATGGCCACCAGGTGGCAGCAGGGGCCCCGGTTCCCAGGTGAGCAGCACAGCGGAAGGACCGAAGCACCCACCACTCCCCAACCACAGCAAGAGGGACCTCTGGCTTCCGTCTCTGGGAGTGGTTTTTCCAAACTGGTCAAGTCACAGGAACTTCTGTTCAAGTAACAACAACACAGCAACAGCTCCTATGTCCCGAGCACCTACTGTGTGCGACTCTGGGCCACGCCTGATACACGTATCACATCTCTGAGTCTCAGCAATGACCCTAATGCACCCATTATACAGGTCAGGACTTGACCTGACAGAGGGCAGTCGGCTTGCTGGAAATCAGGTAGAAGCAGGATTTTAATCCCAGAGCCCAGACTCCCAGTCTCTCCACTCTGTCATTCTGATGTAAAGGGGCTGCTTCGGTTGAAGGGGACGGGGGTGGGGGGGTGGGGGGGAACGGGCTGGCTCAGCCAGGGGCCCAGACATGGGGAGGCAAGTTAGAGGCAGGTGGGACTCAAACCCCAGCTCCTCACCTCTCAACCTCAGCGTACAAATACTCCTTGACCCCCACCCCACTCACGGTCTGGAGTTTGGGCCTGACCTCCATGGGGAGACCAAACTAATGTGGGGAAGAGCGCTCACTTGGAGGCTAGGCTGACCCATCGAACCCTCTGGAGCTCAGCACCTAAAAAATAAGCAGCAAGCACAGGCCCTCACCGTAACTGGAGCGGCCGTCCGTGGAGTTGGCAGGGCTGCGGTCAAAGGTGAATTTGCCCACCACGAGGCTGTCGTAGGCAGCCTGGTTGAGCTGGGGCAGGGAGATGGCGTTCTTGATGATCGGGGAGACCGCGGGTGGAGCAGGGGAGGGTGCGGGCGGGGAGGCCATCCGCCGGGGCGGCGCCCCTACCCTCCGCACCTGCTGTAGCTTCTTGGCCAGGAAGCTGCGGGGTGAGCGGTGAGTGCTCCCAGAGCTGCCGCCATGGTTGCTGAGGAAGGAGGTGTCACCAAAGACATCCCCACCACGGCCCACATGCATGGTGTGGCGGAAGTCCCCGAGCGGGGGGCTGATCATGTCTGCTGTCAGCCGCCTTTTGCTCTGTGAGCTGGACACCCAGCCCACGGGCGAGAGCTTGCCCAGGCTCATGGCAGGGGCTCCTCCAGCCCCCTGGGGGCCCGGCATCAGCTCTGGCTCTCACAGCGGCTGGTGCATGCCCCCCGTGGGGCCTGGGCTCAGGGTCCACTTCTCAGCTCCCTCCTTCCCCGTGGAAGGGGGCGGACAGCGGCTGCCTCCCCTGCGCTCCTAAGGTGTCGCCCCCGAATGCTGAGGCTGTGGAAGGCCCATGGCTGGTTTCTCCCTGGGGCCTGGCTCCCGGCCCCGTGGAAGCAGCTGTCGGTGTTCTGTCCAAGAACAGGGAAGGTATGAGTTGTGCCTCGAGTGTGGACAGCCCCTCTCTGCCCAGGGGTAGAGACCTGAAAGAAAGAAAGAAAACGATGATGGGCCCGGGGGATCCTGGGTCCAAATCACAGCTAGAGAGAGCAGGTGGCTACACCTGCCGACAGAGATGGGGGCCACCGACAAAATGCTGAGCAGGCGCACAAGGAGGACATGCTGTAGAATTCTGGGCACCCGACATTTAAGAGCAGGCAAAGGAAACAAGAGTGATACAGTCGGAATCGTGGTTGCCTCTGAGCAGGGACTGCTGGGAGGGGCACAGAATAATCCATCCAGCTGTACCCTGGAGATGCGTAGCAGTTAAGAAGCACGGATGGTCCTTATACCCTTATACCCAGACCGTCTGTGAAGCACCTAGTAAGTGCTGATAAATTACCTGTCATTCATGTAACCCGCATGACAGCCCTGAGGGAGGCACTATTTTAGAGAAACTGAGGCACAAAGAAGTGAAGTGACTTGTTTGAAGCTACACAATCAAAATGGCGAGGGAGAGCACCCCCCACCCCACCCTCCCCTGCAAACCCAGAGCCCTTGAGCCCCAAGGTACGTTCTCCTCTGCTGCCAGGTTGGGCAAATCACCTCCCCTCTCTGTGGCTTAAACTGTCCTCCACTCAGAGAGGCCAGGAGGGAGGAGGTGCCCTGCCACAGGCTTTGGGAATTGCTGTGTAAACAGCCTGCACAGAGGTTCCTCAGAACGCTCCGCCTCAAGGTGCTTCCTGGAAAAAGGATCCTGTGGTCAAAAGTGGCTTTTCCCAGCTGCCGACTGCATGCCTGAGCAGATTGAAGGCTCTGAGAAGGCCCGCAGGAAAGAATTTTACTATAGTTTTTCAAATTGAGGTAGGAGCCTTGTTGTCAGGGAACAGGTTTTGGAAAAAGCACAGTTGGTGCCAAAAGCTGTTTCTCGCCCACTCCCCCTGATCTCCCTGCCTCCTCCCCTGCCCCAGCCTTCTCTAAGCTTCTCTTGGTCTGACCCCATCCCTTCTAGTATCATAGAAAGTGCAGTCTGGAGGATGCCTATGGGCCTATGGTCTGACCTCTGGCTTTCCCGTGGCCCAGAGAGGTTCCAAGTTTGCTCAAGGTCCCATCAAGAGAGCTAGTCGAGACTTGAACTCAGAGCCTCTGACTCACATAGCCTTTGACTGGCTCCCGGAGCCCGGTCTTGTTTCCCCAGGTTGGCAACACACTGTGAAGGTGGGGCCGCTGTCTAGCTGTTCCTGTCTTCCTCCCTCCTTCCATCCAGCTTGAACTCTGCACGTGGCAAGTGCCAAATCAACAGGGGTTCAATCGCAGGAGATCGCTACAATGACCTTCCTGCCAAAGGATCACCCCTTGCCACCTTCCAAGGGAGGGTAGGTAGGTGGGTGGGGAAAAGCTTCACCGTGTGACCTTGAGCAAGTCACCTACCTCCGCGGGCCTGGGACCTCAGCTGATAAAAGTTGATAATAATCCTTAACAAGAACACCTAGATCTGTGCCTCAACTTTTTTTTTTTTTTTAAATTTCGCTGCCACCTCCAAGCAGAAAAATCTCAGTACTGCTCTTTGAATGTTATTTGAAATTCAAAATAGGTTAAATAACAAGATAAAAACAAAGAAAGCAATAAAACAAAGCTTGCTTTGTTCTCTGACTACATTCTCTTCCCTTCCCACCATCTGATCCTCCCCCAACCCTAACTCCTCCCCCGGGGCGGGGGGGGGGGTGTCTGAATCATCCCTTTCCCTGGCACCCCCAGCACCAAGTCCTCGCGGAATGTTTGCTGAAGTTTCGGAGCACTCTGCCGTTGGCCAACCAGTACATGACGTCTTCGGACGCCAACTGCCCCGCACAGCTGAGGGGTTAGCCCGTTTTTACAGGGAGAGCCAAGGTTCAGAGGGAAGGGACTTGGCCAAGGTCCTGGCAGGCACATGGCAGGTTTCCTAGCTCTGCAGAGATGCGGGACGACTCTGTGAGCGGGGGAAGGAACTGGGGAGGGGGGTCACCCTGAGATGTCATGTGAGGGGTCCCTGTGTCTGTCTTGTGGCTACACCCACCTCTCTCCCAGCCGCCACCTCCAAGTAGCCACTCTTCTCTCTGCAAAAGGGACTCTGGCCCCCACTGAATCCCCACGGCCATTTTGACTTGTGAGACCAGATGCCTCTGGGCCCCTCGGAAAGGTCTCTCCTTACCCTTCCACCTTGCCCACTGCAATAAAGAGACTCTGCCAATAGAGAGGTTGTGGGACAAAGGGCAGGGCATTGCTACTGGGGACCTATTTTCCCACGTGGAAAACAAGAACAGCATCGAAAGCTGGCCCTTTCCCAGAGAAGTTATAAGAGTGGAAGGTGCTGTAAATAAAGCCCCAGGTCCTGGAGCAGGGCAGCCCCAGTTCAAATCCAACATGTTAGCACTAACATCTCTCACTGGGGGCCCCTTAGTGGCAGCAATTTGACCCCAGCTGTTGACTGCAGGGTTTTATTGCCGGCGATCAGGTGTGCCCCACCTGGCCCTGGAGGAAGAGGGGCTCCAGGTGTCCTGGTGCAAGGCCCACCTCCTCTCACCAGCCCGGGATTACTACCTGTTAACGCTCACGACACCCATTTTACAGGTGAACAAAATAAGGCACAGAAAGGGGATTGACTTGCCCCAAGTCACACAGCAAAAAAAAGTGGATGGCCCCGGAGCTTCCCTGGGATTCTGTCACCATCACAAGTAAATGTCAGGGGAGGGGTAGGACCACAGGGGCCTGGGGAGAGTTGTTGGAGGAGGCAATGCCCAGCTGCTGAGCTCGGGAAGGGCAGGCCTGGGAGGCGGGAGACTGTGTACATTCGGTGCCTGTGACCTGGGCAAGAGTGGTCACCCAGCAGCCTCAAGGTCCTAGCGGTCCTCGTATTTAGCCTACAGAGGATAGTGAGGCTGGGGCACTTGGGAAGAGGTTACTCAATGGTGGTAATGACCGCAAGGACAAGGCTGGAGGGGGCCGACAGGGGCCGCTGTGGAGGCACCGCGGTGTGGTGGAGGCAGGGGGTGCTGTCCGACATCGGGGAGGGCAGAGGCTGGGCTCCTGCACCCTGGCGCTCACCTGAGGGTCACCCTCGTGCCTGCCAGCGCACCACCTGTCACCCTGGAGGCCAGGCACATGCACACAGCCCCCTCCCCACCGGCGTCCAGCTGGGTAACACCACCCATACCACTGGACAGCTCGGCCCTGCCTGGGTCAGGGCAGTTCTGGCCCTAGAATAAAAGATTAACTCCCTGGGGCCCCTCGTATCCCCTGAAGCACCCCTCCCCACAGGTGGAGAGACGGGCAAACCGAGGCCAGAAAAGGCCAGCAAGTTGTCTGCGGCCGCAGTGGGGACCCTGTTGCTGGACTCTGAGGGGTTAGGAGGGAGCACCAGGGGCCATAGGGGAGTAAGAGGAAAAAGCGGGAGAGACGCTTCTTGGTCCACCACTCCAAGTTACGGCCGAAGCCCTCCACTCGAGGAGGGGGGTGGCCACGGACCAAGTGTCCCCCCCCCCCAAGTCCTGGGTTCCACTCCCCACAACGCGTTTGGGGCGGCCTGGGACTGGTCCCTCCGCCTTTCTAGGCCTCAGTTTTCCGGTCTAGAAAATGGGCTTCAGGCTTCGCGGGTCTTGCCTGGTTGGGGCAAGGACAGAACAATCTCGAGGCCAGTCGGGACTGGAAGTCGCGGAAGACTTGGGCCATAAAACATTCCCTCTGGGAGGCAGGGGGTTAGAATGGGGAGGGTCGCTCGTTCCGCGGGGGAAGGGGACAGCCGGCTGCCGTGGCCCGAGGGGAACCGGACGGGATGACCTCATCCGCTGCTCGGCCTGGAATGCGGTGGTTGGGGAGGGGGCAGGGTGCCTGGGGGCAGGGTGCCTGGTCCATCTCTCCAGCGGTCCCTCCCGCCCCCCACTTCCCGCTCTCCGCGCCGGCCTCGCCAAGGGGCCCGACATTCCGGCACATCGCCCCCTCCCCGTTCCTTCCCTTCCTTTCCCAGGGCAGGAAGGAGCGTAGACGGCCCTCTGCTCTCCCCCTCCTCCCGCAGCCCGCTTCACCGCTCACCCGCCCCAACTCTCTGCGCCCCTCCGCTCGCCGGGGACAGTACAAAACAACCCCCAAACTTGGAGGGACCCCCGCGCCGCTCCCGCTGCCGGCGGCTGGGCCTTCCTTGTTGGCACCGGGGGCGCCTCCGGCAGGCTGGCCTCCCCCACCCCCCCGCCCCAGCCCCCGGGCGCCTAGGAGGGTGCCGGTCCCCCCCCCCCCGCCGGCGTCCACGCCCACCCGGGTGGCGCTGTTACCTTCGCTCGGCGAGCCCCGGGGGCCGGGGGCCGGGGGGCGGACGCGGCGGCAGGGGCGGCGGCAGCGCGTCGCGGCGCGCAGCCCGGGCGAGTGGCTGGGCCGGTCTGCGCCGCCCTGGCCGCGGGCTCCGCGGGCTGGCTCCGGGGGCGGGGGCGGGGTGTGGGCGCGCTCCCTCCCCGCGCCTCGCTCCTCCCGCCCGCGGGCGGGGCCGGGCCCCCTCCGGGGCACCGGTCGGGCCGCCCAGAGGGGCGAGGAGAGCTGGAGGGGGGCGGCGAGGGTGCCGGGCCGGGGCCCTAGCCCGCCGCCCCCGACTCCCGGCAGGGAGCGGGGGACCCCGGGAACGTGCGGGTGCCCGGGCGGGGCGACGCGTGTCAGCGGCGGCCACCCCTCCCCCACCGGCTCCCCGCGGGGCTTTGGGGCGCCCAGACCTGAGAACTGGGCTCCCCAGCCGCTCCCTTCGGGTCTCCGGGGCCTTGAATGCCGGACCGACCCGCAGAGACCCTGAGTTCTACGAGTTGGGATGCCCACTGCCCTTCTCCCAATCCCCGATTCCTTTCAATCCAGCGCAGGCCTCGGGGGTGCTGGAACACAGAGTTGATTGAGCCCAACTGGGGCGCAGACCACAGCAGGCAACTTGTAGAGTGGTGTGTGGTGTGGTGGGGGCCCTAGAACCCAACTGCCTGGTTTCCTCTCCTGCTCTAGCCACTGCTTATCCTTTCTGGGCCTCAGTTTCCCATCTGTAAAATGGGATAGTAGTAGGCATCGGATGTTATGTTATTAGGTGTTCTCTGCTCTGTCAGCACCTAGGAGGCTTGCTGAACAGGTACATGAGACCAAACCTCAGATGGATGGGTTTAGAAAGCTTTATTGAGCACCCCCCCCAATCCCATCCAAGAGGGGCAGGAAACCACCCTGCACCGGACCCTGTGTCATCCTCAAGGAAGGGAGAGAGAACTCTGATCCCTGCCTCATGTTTTTTTGCCCTCCTCTGATCCTGTGAGCTCCCTGGGGACAGGCAGAAAGTCCTGGGGGCTGTGGTAGCACAGAGAGACTCCTAACAGCCTCCAGGGGAGTGGAGGGGGCCAGCAAGTTTTCCCAGAGAAGGTGATACCTGACTTAAGTTGTAAAGGACACATAGGCAGGGGGAACACCGTGTAAGTGCACACACACACACACACACACACACACAAACACACACACACCTGGCAGGAGACTGCACAAGCAAAGATCTGGACCTAAGGATCTATAGGAGGAGGCAGGTGTGGCTGGAGGAAATCATCTGCCTGGGAGGAGGGCCATGTTTACAGCCTGGTGGAGGAGACTTGCATCGGCTCCCTGAATCCTCATGCTGGCCACAAAGGGAGGGCTTTTTTCCCCCAGCTGGACAGAGGGACAGATGGGGAAACTGAGACACAAAGAATTCTGGCATCTGCTCAAGTGGCACAGCAGTAGGACTGAGACTCCCGTCGGTCAGAGCCCTTTCCTCGGGGTCGGGCTCGGAGGTGTTTTGTCCTGGGGGGTGCTGTCTCAGGGGTGCTGAAGAGCAGGGGTGAGGAAGAAGCGAGACTGCCCCTGAGAGGCAGGGATGGGGGCGGGGGCACAGTCAAGGGCTGGGAGAGGACTGGGCCAGGTTTTGGGGGCTTACCCTTGGGCGTCCAGCCTCCTCTGGGCAGGGATGGGGAGCCAGTAGGCAGTGTGAGTCAGATGTGTATTTGGAAGCTCTTTCTCTGAGCCAAGAATGAACTGGAAGGACAGTGATGGAGGCAGGGAGTAGTAGCTATTATCATTAATAGCAGTAGTGATAACCAGCATTTATTGAGCATCGAATGCATACCAGGCTCTACAGCCTCTTAGAGGCACTGCCACATTTAATCCTCATGAGAGCCCCATAGGGACAATACTGTCATCATGTCCATTTTGCAGAGATGTGCGGTGATTTGCCCAAAGCCTCCTGCTCTGGCAGGATGGCCATATTTCCCTGTTTGCCCAGGATGGGCCCAGCATAATTATTTTATTTTATTTTTTTTAATATTTTATTAAAAATTTTTAAAGATTTATTTATTTATTTGACAGAGAGAGTGGGGAGAGGGGCAGAGGGAGAGAGAGAATTTCAAGCAGACTCCATGCGGAGCACGGAGCTTGACACGGGGCCCGATCCCACGACCCTGAGACCATGACCTGAGCTGAAATCAAGAGTTGGACACTTGACCACCTGGGCACCCCTAAGATTTTATTTTTAAGCAATCCCTATACCTAACGTGGGGCTTGAACTTAGAACCTTGAGATCAAGAGGCGCAGGCCCCACCGACTGAGCCAACCCGGCGCCCCTCAGCATAATTATTAATAGCACTTCCTTTTACTCTCAACGGTGACCTAGTTAGACAATAAATTACTTGTCATTCTCGCCAGAGGATCACCAGAACAGCCGGCAAAGGAAGCAATTTAGTGCTGTGTCAAAGGCCTTGAACCCAAAACTTGGCCCATGGGCTTCCCAGCCATTGTGTGACTGGAGGCAAGGCACTTGGCCTCTCTGATCCTCAAGTTTCTTGTCTATAAAATGGGTACAATTCCACGGCAGATATTTGCTACTTGCCAGCCCCAGAGATGGCTGGGAAAGCAGTCTTAGTGGGCATGCTTACAGCCTGCCACACACTCCCCCCATGCTCTCCAGCTCCGCGCTGGGGGCAGAGTGCCAGTGGCTGAGAACCTTCCTACTGTGTGCCAGGCACTTTGTCTCCACCAGCTCATGGCGAGGCAGTCTGTGAGTCAGGAATTCTCTGCCCCATTTTACAGATGGGTAAACTGAGGCTAAGAGCGGCCCTCTCCCTTCATTCAAAGCCTCTCTCCATGTAGGCTGTGTTCCTGTTCCTTGCTCCACTCCTGATTTAAGGATCCAACTCAGCTTTTCTCTCTGGAAAATGGGTGGAATGGAGGGGTCGTGGCACCCTTATGAAGGATGCAGGATGGGCAGTCCCCATTTCCTGTGCTTTTTTCCTCCACCCATTTCTCGTGGTCCCTTTCCTTTCCCTGTGGAGGGGCTGTCTGTGTCCAGGAGTGCAGGGGTTAACCCTGGGGAGCTGTAATCACCATGTAGAATGCAGAACGAATGCTTCCCAGCCAGGGATTGGGAGCTGCTAGCTGGGACTGGCTGCCGAGAATTCAGGAGCCCCTAGTTCCTCCTCTGTTCTGGAGGAACAGGGGCCCTTGGGCCTAATCACAGAGCTCAGCTGCCCCCTCAACTCACCCCTGCAGACTGGGTGGGCTGAAGCTTAGGGCTCATGGGCAGGAGGCAGTTTCTGGGCAGGCAGTCCTCTGTGGAGCTACAGCAGGGTGCAGCTAGAGAGGGGCACTTCCGCCTTGGGGACTCAAGAATGCCCGTGGCTACCCACCCGGCTCCAGTGAGGTTTGGAGTGGGAGCCTTGAGCTGAGTGAGTTGGCTTGGCCACATCTATCAGCCCTCATCCCAGGCTCTCCCGAGGGAGCCCTGCGTGTACCCTTTCCATCCCAAAGTCTGGCTGGGCTTTTGGTCTATTGATTGGTCTTCCCAGTACTCTCTCTCCTGAGTGGCCAGTGGTCCCTCCACCTATGGATGCGATTACCATTCTATCCTCCTACGGACTACTTACACTTCTATCTATCCATCTACCTCCCCCTCCACGCTTCCATTTGTCTACCTGCTTACCTACTCTCCACACCGATCCAATCACCTAACCACTTACCCACTCCTCACTTGACCCCCTTGCCAACACCCGTGTCCATTCATTCATCCATCCCCCCACCCATCTGTCCAACTTCTCACCCATGCATCCTTCCACCCCCATCCATTTATACACCTATATATCCTGCCCGTGCAGCATCCCTTGGTCCACTGCCCACACCCACACCCGTCTACCCACTCACCTGTCCTTCCATGCATTCACTCATTCTTTTTCCTGTCCATCCTGTGAAGCTCTTACCTCGACTCACACCCGGCCTCTGCTGACCAACATGGGTCTCTGAGCTGCTTTGAAATGTCACCTCCTCCTGGAGGTCTTCCTTCAGAGCATCTGTATTGGTATCTGTTGGCCTGCGAGGTCTCCCCGGAGATGGTGATGTTGGTATTCCTGGCAATTTGGGGAATGCATGGTCACAGCCAGCATCGGAAGGGGGTCCTTGTCCCCTGAACTGGACTGCCCCCACCATAAGGGCAGGTGTCCTTCTCCTGGGACCACTCCAGGGAGAGTCCCCACGGGCCAGATTCCTGGCAGGGGCTCAGATGCACCTAGGTGTTGCAGGGAAAGGGGACAGCACTGGGTTCTTGAGGAAGTTTGTGAGGCAGATTAGGTCGTCAGCTAGGGCAGACTGGCAATGGGGCCAAGGGGGCTATCCACCATGCTCTCACCAGTACGGCCCAGCGTGTATTTGCAAGTCGGACAAGCAAGAGTCCAGATCTTGGCTTTGCCTCTCACTAGCAGAGTGACCTTGGACGAGCCACTTTCTTGCCTGGTCCTCACTTGTGTTGTCTGTGATGAGCCATGACGTTCACTGTCTGACCTGTCAAGAAGGATAGCTACTGTTATTGCCTATTGTTACCATTTTCCTTTCCCCCAAAGACGATTTCATTTAACACATTTTAAGTAAGTTCCTGCTGTGGGTCAGGCTCCAGGCAGGGGTACCTTGTGAAGAGGCAGCAGTGAGTAAGGAGTGTAATTCCTACTCTCCAGAGACTTCTGGTCTGGTAGGGAAGACATAGGCCAAGATATTGGTGAGGATGAAGGGTCAAAACAGTGGTAGAAGAGGCCAAGGAGCCAGAGGACTGACTGAGGAGGTCCAGGGAGGCTTCCTGGAGGAGGTGGTATTTGAGCTTGGGGAATTATTGCCCCTAGGCGAACTGGGGTGAGAACAGGGCTCAGGAGGGTAGAGGATGAGCTAGGAAGGGTCTACTATGGAGGATGGGAGAGAGGCCTTGAATGCCAGGCCCTCTGTGGCCTGAGCTAGCCTGGGCCGCTGCTCTGCCCCCAGCACCGGCTGCCCTCGGGAGTGGGGTGCTTTGAGATCCTGGTTGGGCTTTTCTCATAACAGACCAGACAGCAAGCTAGACAGTTAAGGCTC